TTGCAGGCAGTGTGCCTGCTGGAGGATGCTTGTAGGCAGAGTACTGGACTGGAGAGGATAAAAGCGACGACATAGCGGAGATGGTGGAGGTAGGAGGGAAAGGAGTGACGAGAGCAAGTGCGTCATTATATGCTCTCGATCTTCGGTACTCAATTATGTAAGCACTTCGATATACAGTTTAAAAGTAAAACTAAATTATATTATAAGTCTAACAGGGTGATTGTTAACAATATTAATATATATAATTGCATATTATCTTACTAAAAGTATTATAATCAACTTACAAGCACAATACAATATTTTTATAACTATTATAATCTATCAACTATTATTGTAGATATCTTATAATATAATTTTAACAGATTATAATAAGAGTTGAGTACTTGTACCTCACATGTAATGTTGTAATAATACTATTAGTAAGCTTACTTGCTCTAAAACATGTTTGTAGTTTAATAGAAACTTTGTATATTTCTTACATTTATATACAAGCATTATAATTACATTACAAGTAAAATATAAGTATTATTTTAGAATGTAATGCTTATGAAATAATTTTATTAGTTTACTTTTGCTATTATTAAATACATTTGTTGCGACTTTTTCGTGATGTGAAAATCAATTATTCTCAACATTCTCAACATTTATAAGTAGGGTCACCAACACTCATTACTGTGTAATACATAAACTATATGTTGCCTAAGAAATAAAGGAATCCATTCAAGTGTCTAGAATATAATATACTTTCATTTGACATAGTCCTGGTCCCTCTGAAGTTAAACCATTTTGTGGAGCTATATGCCTCAGCAACCTCTACATATGCCTAGGTCCTTGCTCACTGTACCGACTTCCTGAAAGTGTAAATCACCGCAAAACGGCCCGCAAAATCCTAGAGAGGCATAATTGTAATTCCACTCCATAATGAACGTACTACCATGGATATTGACATCAATAACATGCAGGGTAAAAGGAGATCCAGAGGAACATAATGATACAAACAAACAAACGGACAAACAGACGTGAAGAAAACTCTAGAAGTACAAGACAAAGAAAAAGTCACTGAGCAAGAGATACGAATAACCATAGACCAATAACAACAGTAGCAACACTACCAAGAGTAAGGCGAAAACGAAAACGAGAACAACAAAAAACGGCGAAAACAATACATAAAAATGCAAAAGAAACACGACACCAAAAGTCCGTACACACATCAAGAACTTCATCCACATTCATCGACCCTCACCTTCATCTAACCGTCATAACACCCAACTCATAATACGCCTGCCCGCTCCAGTCGTTCTCAGATTCGTGTGGTAAGCTAGAAACGGCCGTCTTTTCAGAGTCACGTCGTGAATTATGTACGTATCGGGGTGGAACGGGCATGGAAATGATCATCGCTACTTGCAGCGGTCGGTCTCGGTCCCTGTCTCGGTCGTGGTCATGCGGTTCCGCCGCAGGTGTAGAAGCTGAATTTGAATGTGAAGCTAAGGTGGAGGATTGTTTGGAAATGGAAGTAGATAAGCTATTTGTGGGTAGCACACGAGCTGCAGAAAGCGGCTAATAATAGATTATCACATTAATTATTATTCTTCCATCGACGCGAGAACGCGAACACTGGAAAACGCACTTGGATGTCATTCCACCGAATTCGTCCATCCTCCTCCCTAAAAACCGAGTCTCCTAGGTCCGTCACCTCCGCGCATTCTTTCCCTTTCTTCACGCTCGCTTCCTCGTTCCGGCTCCCATTGTCGAATGCACTCCCATTTGCAGTTAGATGAACGTCCCAAATCTTCGGTATACACTCCCCCTCCTGCACATCCCCTAACGCACCTAACCTCTCCAACTCCGCTCTCTGTCTCCGATTCGCATAGCGCTGCATCCCATGCGCGAAGGCCAGGAGACATAAGAGGATCGCCATGAACGCAAACCCAAAGGTGAGGGATTGCGCGCCTGCGCTGCTGTTGGAGCCGCCAGAGTTTCGCGCGTGAAGGCAGTTGTCGTGTGAGGACATGTTGCTACGTGTAGTAGTGCTAGTGATGGGAAGACTAGTACCAGCAGCCAGTCGAGTCATTAGCGCAAGTCGTCAAACAACGTCTTTTCGGAACGAAGGCGAGCAAAAAGCTGATAAGTCGCTCCTCGTCTTGGAGGCTTACGAAAGGCAGACGACGAGACCCATGAACGTGGTAAGACGAGAGAGAAAGCCCACAGCAACTCCTCGTCGTGTGCGTGTGCGTAGGTACGTGCGTGAGATTCGATTGAGTGTCTGTCGTCGGGAATGTAGGATGACCCGACCCAGAACGGGCGCACGCGTGCCTGCCAGGGTAAATCTCCCGATCAGGTCATCAAAAAACTGTATTATTATATATATGCTATGCTTAAAATAATTTATAAACTTTAATGAATTTAATTCCTCGTTGATCGAGTCGGGAAACTGAATTTCCTTGTGTTGAGCTTGGCTCTTGGCTGTAATTCGCCGAGCCGCGAATACTGTAAGCCTTCTTCCGAGAGAGAGGACGAGTGGCGATCCGGAGCTTGGACGTCGATCGAGAAGATTCAAGATGGTCGGTCGGATAAGACGGATATACAGATGACACAACTATTCTACAGTGTGTTTGTAATACATCACAACATTCCCATGTGAAAAGAGGAAACAATAGACAGCACATGCGAAAGGCAAAAACTTAATATAGCAACCAAGCAAAACATCGTCATTCATCATCGCTTGCACTGCACAACAGGCACGTCCGTAATTCCAAGAGCGACGTTCAATTCGCCAAGCCTCGCTTCCTCCGTACCTTCTTTATCCTTATCCTTATTCTCCTCCATACCCGAAGACACGTTCGACTTGTGCTTGGTTGGCGCGTCTGTGTTGTTCTCGGCATGATGTGCCTGGGGTGTTGGCATTGATATGAGTACGGATACGCGTATGCGAGACTGAGGTGTAGGTGCTTGTGATGACGGGGAGGTTGGAGATTTGGACTCGGTGGTCGTCGTGTCAGAGTCGAGTGTTCGTCTCTCGTCTGTCGGGGAATCAGAGGAGTTATTTCGTGGAGAAACCGGATTTTGAGACCGAGAGGGTATATATCCAGCAGATATAGGCTGCGTCTAAAAGTCAACACCATAGGTAGCGCTGCCAACACGGAGACTGCTCACCTTCATATCTCTCCACCTCTCCCTCCCTTCCCTGTCCTTCAGATACACATCCACAATCAAAGGCTTCGGACCCAACTTCACCTCCCCAGCTCTCTCCCTCATCCTCCTCATCGCATCAATCTCATCCTGCCATCCACTAGCCAGCATAACAATCCCAACCCGCCCTCCACCAATCACACCTACTCTCCCATCCTCACTATATCTCGCTATCCCAACCCCACCATTCCTACTGGCACGACGCATAGCAACACGCCGCCACCAACACATAATAACCATCCCGATGACGAGTAACCCGGAGAGTATGAACGCTGGAACGAGTGGTGTGGGCCCGTTCCCACCTAGTAGATTGCTATTCGCATTCGTATCACTTGGTCCTGGATCACTTGCTGTATCCGTGCCCGTAGGCATGGGCGTTGTCGTTAACGTTTGTAAAGCCATCGTACCAGAACAAACACCCCTCTAATAAACACAAGACTTTTCACGTCCCTAGCTCCGAAACTCAAAGTCCAAACAAAGTTGAATCGGGGTAAGCGAAGGAACTTAAAATCTTGAGTATTTCTTGTCCCGTCCAAAACTCGGGTCTCGTGAAGCGGTCGTTAGTCTCGGTTGGTTAGCGTCTGATGGATAGGGGTGCCGACGAGACTCAGTGAGCAGCGGACATGTCTTGGATGTTGTCTCGTCGTCGTCGTCGTCGTCGCTGGTGAGAGAGGTCGAGCGTAAAGATAACCCACCTAAGGACCGTCGCACACACACGGACATGTGGTGGGAAGAGCCTCTCCATCATGTGCTATTTATAGCGCCTGTCTCTACTCCGATAGGGATAGGTTTTCAATTTATTTAATCGATTTTGGAAGGCCGATCTGGGGTGGGGGATCGACACACCATATTCGGATATAGCTGGATATCGCCGTCGAGTTGTTGGTGGATGTATGAAATGTTATCCGTTACCGTAAATGCACTGTGCTGAAATAAATAGATGTCCATCGCATAGCTATGAATAAGCAAGGATTTGGCTGCTGATTATGATTTGAAGTACCACGTGTAAAGATCTTATCCAAACCTGGCGCAGATCGATCGACAATACGCAAACGACCGAAGCTGACCGAACGCTAACATTAATACTAACAGCAAAAGCTTTAAATCGACAGTATTACATCAGGTACTGTGTAAAGCTAAACGAAAGAAAGAACAACAGTTTATACAAAAATCCATGTTTAATCCGTTAAGAATAATAATTAAAAAAACCAGCCAAAGTCTAGAAGATAGAAGCTAGCCCTCGAACACATCAACGTTACTAACACCAATCTCAAGCGAAACGTCCAAATTACCAAGTCCATCACGAATCCTTGTAGTAGAACCCAGATTATGTGAAGATGGAATAGGAATAGGGATTTCGACGTTGACTTCGTTCAATCGAACACTGCTAGCTTCCACTTCCCCTTCGCGTTGTAACGAGCCCGACCCAAGTTGCCCAATATTATTATTAGAATGACGTCGTAGAGAGGTATGAGATAGAGCGCGCGGACGCGGATGTGGCATCGATATGAGTACAGCGACGTCTAGACGAGGAATAGGAGTGGGTGGAGGTGTTGGTGGAGGCGTACGAGCAGGTGTTTCTGGAGAAGTGTCCTCGACGGTCCTTGAATTCGACCGGAGCGATATCCTTGATACCCTCGCACTTCGTCGTCTTATGTCCGATTCCGAAGGGAGTGAAGTGGAAGCATCTACAGCGTTCAAGGGAGAGATGGAGAGCGAGCGTGTATAGGCTGCTGAAATTGGCTGAAATAAACCATCAGTTGGAATTCGATAAACCTCGAGATTAATAGTAATGTAACCCACCATAACCTCTCTCCACCTCCACCTCCACCCTTGTCTACCCGCCTCACCACCACTATCCACAGTCTCAACACGCGCGTCCAACAATCTCGGCCTCGCACCCAACCTCGCATTCCTCCTCCTCTCCTCTCTCCTTCTCTCTTCCTCCACCTGTACATCCCCTGCACGCCTCACTCTCCTCTGCCTCCACCATAATCCAGCCAAACTCACAACGAGCAACCCAGAAAACACAAACTCGGGCGCAAGTGGTGTGGCTAGACTCATGTCGCTCCCGCCCTCACCGCCTCCTACGCTCTGGGATTGGGATTGCGTAGACGAGGGTGAAGAAGTGGCGGGGATAATTACTGTTACAGATGTAGATAGGGAAGTCGAAGAGAAAGGCGCAGTAGAGGACTGAAAGTCTAAAGTGGGTTCCATAGGAGTCGGTCCCCGTGTTCGTAGCCGTACGTACTACGCGAGTAAGTTATGATCGTCTAGTCCGTTCGTCTACTGTATATTGTATATGCTTCTCGATAGGGAAGAGGAAGGAGGTGGCCTATCCTCAGACTGTATATCCTGTGTCGTAGTATTCGAAGCCCAGCACTTGCCTCTCGTCACAGGAGAAGTAGTAGCGCAATCAGATGTACAGCACGTATGTGCATATTGGTGGTGATGTCGAGGAGCAGCAGCAGTAGCAGCAGTGAAGCAATAGCGATATCGAGTAGAGCGTACACGCATGTAATGCCAAATATCAAATGTGAGTCGTCAAAGGAGAAAAAGCGGCCCAACGTGCACACGAGCAGGTCTAGAAATACTCTTCAAATTCGCGATCACTCGGCCGACATCCAAGATTCCAAAACCAAACAAACCGTCCAAACGAACCCCACACTCACATGAGTCCGTCGCGCATCGGGGCATCCGACTAGGCGGAACATACCAGACATCGGCAACCTTTCCAACCTATCCACTAAAGCCACCACATCATACATCATAATTCGCAAGACTCATAAGCGCCCGCACTTCACAGATAGGTCTTATACACTCGAAAACGGAGCTTGATTAATGATTTGCTTGGCAAGGTCAGTTGGCCTGTAACCTCGAGAAAACTCGGATTACTGTAGTGGTTTCTCGGATTCTTCTGTGGTCGTAACACACCAGACAGGCGCTTATCTACACACATACACGTCATGAAAGCGCTATTGGTTCGCTATTCCTCACTAACCAATCGGACCTATCGTATTTTCCCAGTATCAGACCAGCTCTCTGTCTTGTGATACCTTCGCGAACCGAGAGAAAGTGGAAATATGCCACCTTCGCCGTTCGACCCCGCCCGACAAGGTACGAGTCGGCACGCAAGGCGACTCGCGCAAAAAGTCCTCAAGACATGAGCGGAGGAAAGACAATTGGACGAAGGGAGGACTCGGAAACAGCGGGTGATGTCGTCAGTCAGACACTCGGCGCCACTACGGCTCCTCGGCGTGCGCTTGGGCACGTGCAGCGAATTTTACTCTAAACGGCTGTAAACCCTCTTTCGAGAACAACAGAACCATAATACCAGGCATCTGATTTCTGATACTGACACATCATCATAACGCTTCGTGAATTGAAACGATCGAAGAACATATAGTGCGTGAACAAAGAATAGATAAAATGTGTGTGCATCAAGTTACCCTTCGTCCTCTATCAGCGTAACTTCTGTGGTCCCAAGGGCAAAGTCTAGGTCACCGACGCTGATTCCCCGTCTATAGCCAGCTGTTACCCCTATTAGGCTCGGCTTCTTCTTGATGTCGATCTCTGAGGACGCGTCTGACGCGTCTGCTTCGGAATCGCATGGCGTGTGGCATCGCGGTATGGGTGGCGTTGGCATTGAGATCAGCACGGATACGCGCATTCGTGGCGGACACGCGTGAGTTGAGAGCAATTGGGGTGGTGGGGGGATGTGCAAGGGTGGCAGAGAGTCTGCGTGTCTGTTGACAGATGTAGGACTGGTGGACGCGTCGCGATGATCCCTGCTCGAACATCGAGGCTCCGGGGAGGAGTTTGTAGAGTCGGTTCGTGAGGGTATTGAAGAGTTAGGTAAATAGCTTGCAGATATGGGCTGTAAGATTGTTCGGAAATAATCAGTCTCTGCATAATTGAGCAAGGAGAGATAGTAAATTCACCTTAACATCCTGCCACCGCCATTTCTCAACTTCTTCGTATACATGCCCATAACTATATTCAAACCCCACCTCAGGATCCAAGTAAATATCCCAAAACTTGGGCTTCTCTTCCACCTCCGTTTCCCTCTCCTTCCGTCTTGCAAACGGATTGATAGCTAATATCCGCCTGCGCCACCAAACAACTAACACTAAGCCCGCAAGGACACCAGCAGATAGTATGAACTCCGCGACGAGTGGCGAAGGCCCATCACCGGAGGGCAACCCATCCATGACGTTCGAGCCTGCATTGTTTGTCGTGTTCGTGTTATTGCCGTTAGGAAAACCATTAACGTTTGGTGGTGAGGCAGGATCAGGGTTGACTGGTTGAGTCTGTCTGCTACTAGGTAGTGTGGATGTAGACATTGGGAACAGAGATGAGGACAGAAACAACAAGAACACGTCGGTGTCGTTTTGTCGGTATCCGTGCAGGTGTAAGCATTAATACTTGGCTGGCTGACAGGACACGCGAGGACTTGACACTGTGTACGTAGATGGATGACGGTCTGCCTGCTTGACCACCTGCCCGTCCGTCAGACGGCCGCGTTCTAATAACTATTTACACCAACCCAGACCCCACATCGGCACACCCGTTTCCGCCTTCAACGTCTTATATCAGCTCTAAATCCGCGGTCCAGTCAGGATTATAACCAAAGGTGTGACATACGACGGAACATCCACGTCGTCCCGTCAAAGAGTGTTTTGGCCTTTTTTGCTTGTACAAGCCCCATTTGAACGAAATGTATTACTTATGAGTGGAAGAGAAGGAGGACGAGACGTAAGAGACGGGACAGCGCTGAAGCACTTCAGTTCCTGATCCGGTATTACTGTCCGCGGAGGAGACGACTCACATAAGCTCCAGCCGATCGACGCACCGAAATTAGTAATTTATTTTCTATCGGGACTCCGTTATGAAAAAAGCGGAACTCGAAAAACAACGCGCCTCCACTTGTAAATGCACACCAACACATGCAATGATGCATATCCTGGGTGTGGCTCCGAATGGCTATATCTGCTTATTTCTAGTGCCAGCGATGATCATGCCATGCCCGAATCAAAACAGTTGTTGCCACTTTAAAGGCATTCGCCTCTACTTGCACGCCTCAGCGTCCTCGTTTCCGGCTACTGTGACATCTTCAAAACAATCGGAACCTTGATTCTAACCTGAGAAAAACCTGCGTTTCATCGTTCCAGTCAGCATCACGGGCTTGAACTACGTCCGCTGTCAGCGCAACATTTTCAAGACTATCAGGACCTTAACTTTGAGCCAAGAAGAACTCGTATCCGTCGTTCCGGTCACTCACTAACCTGAACTACAGTAGAAAATGTCTTATTGCATAACGTCGGGAGAGGGCTAAACCCAATGCATTATACGATTTATGCATTATGACAATACATTTTGGCTGAAAATCTGAGTTTTGGTTAGGCCAAAAATCTATGCATTATGCCATTTATGCATTATGATGTGATGCAATAAGACATTTTCTACTGTACATACACAGTCAGCACGAGGGAATTATCAAGAGTAGCCGAGAGCTAAGCCTGCCGGTATCAAACGCAGCAGACTGACCTCAGGCTGATACAGTTGTTGCTATTCAAGTAAGGTCTTAAAAAGTTATAGGGTTGGACCTTGTTTTGGAAGCAGCTCATTTTTATCCTAGATGAAACTTGTTCATTACTGACACAGTCATACACACTGGTTATGCTCTGAATACTGTGCTCTGTCTTAATTCCAATTCACTAAATTGTCACCAGAGATTACTAACAAGGGAAATGTCCCACATTTAGGATTGTTCCAAAAAAGTATAAGAGGCTTACTGCCTAGTCAGTAAGGTCTATCAGCCAAGATTGTATTTTCATAAACTTGATGGTCTAGACCTTGACAGAGCCTGATGAACCCTATTCTGTTGTTATCTCCTTACACACCAGATACACACATTAGGGCTTATTCTAATGTTGTAAAGGAGTAGTAATGCCTGACTAGCAAGTGTTAATCTTTTAAATTGTATTAAGATTTAATATCTGCTTGAGTTTTTCACACCTTACAGTGCTTGCAAATCTTATTTTTATCTACAGAAGGATTGTCTGTACTAACAACATTTGTGTACTCAATCTAAATCAAGGCAGAGCCTAATATTTACTAAGACCTAATGTGTATAGTATAATTATAAACTCTACATTTAGGAAAGCCTTCTATTTCATCCAGGATTTAGAGAAGTATTAAGACTTGCTTAACATTTTGCTTAATACATTCATTGAGTGTATGTATAAGAAAATACTAATAGTATTTTGAGATAGTGTATTATTTTTACTAATTATAGTATCTTTAATTACAAACTAAAGAGCTTTAGTTCTTACCTTTACTTAATATTATTAGTATATTCTAATAGTAAGAAGTGTATAAAAGGGCTTACTCTGAAAAGCAGAATGTGTATTGAAAGTATTAGTCTATCTTAGTTCTTATATTCTCTATAATAGTAAATAAGTAAACTTTTAAACAGTTATATGATTAACTTAAAAGTTTAGTAAGAAAGACAGTAATATTTTCTATATGCCTTACAACTAACTCAGAGGACTTGTCTTTCCTTCTAATAGTTTCATAGTCAAGGCAATCCTTCACATAATCTAGTAGAGAAAAGTATTACTATACTTTTATTAGATCTGTTCCTTAATTACTTAAGTAAATATGTAACAATTTATATACAAGGTAGAATGTACAGACTATATATAAGATACTAATAATAGTTGAATGTAATGTACTCAACTAATCTGAGAATGATTAGGACTTGTGTTAGTGTATAGAAAGATGTTATTTAAAAAATATAATTATAAGAGTACAATATATGAACCTTTTATTCTATCTAGAAGAAATGGCTAGAAATGAAATTTTTCTTAATACTCTACTAATAATACAATAACTATGTCAGTAAGGTAACAGTTACTATACAAGTATAATAAAGCTGTCAGTAAACATGATAATAATATAGCTAGTAATTACAAACATTTCTGTCCTAAACACAAGTCTGTCAAGATAGTCTAACCTAGAATAGTAAAAGTGAAGTTGTAGTTGCAAGTTTCTAGAGACTATATACTGATCAGGTTCTACTGTGTCAGAAGTAAACAAGATGGTCTAGTTTGGAATGGAAAAAGTAAGAGGGTATTTGGCTACAAATTTGACAAAATTATAATTTTGTCAGATTATGATCTGTACTTTGTACAGATTGAGGTGGGACTTGTGGGAATATATGTGCTAATCATGCACAAATCTCCCACACTTTCCACCACTTTTGCTATATACTAAGAACTTTTGTTTTTTATTTTTCACTCGAGTATTAAAGAATCTCTTCAATGTGGTAACAGGTTAGTACTGTTCCTTATCATGTCTCTTCAAACACAAGAGAGCTGTGCTGCCGCTCACAGGAGTTTGGAATTCTTCAACCTGCTCAATTCAATAGACTATTTCCGTTGTAATAATCCGCTTGGTCGATTGCTCCTTCAGGACATAGCGGATGGCAAAGTTCCAAACATGGACGGAGCAGATCGGCACCACGTTGGCGTCATCTTGGAATATTTCCGAGCCCAGATCGCCGTCGCAACTCGTCCTCGCGCAACCAGAGCAAATTACAATCGTAATCCGTGTCATGCATGTGTCAATGGGAAAACAAAGGTCAATCAGTCTCGTTCATTTCCAGCACAAGTCTAAATTTCTGTGAAGTGCGTTCCGATCGAACCCAAAGACGGGGAGTATCTCTGTCGACAATGCAAGAAGTTTGGATTAGATGTGTGCCATAAGGTTTGTATGAATGATTTGCATATTCTCTGAGCATGAGGATTAAAACTCTGTTCTGGATAGTCAAACACGGACAATCCGGAGAGAGAGAAGTCGGTAACTATGCTGGATATCATTCCACCTGCTTTTTCCTCTCTAGGGTCTGGTTGGAACAATTACGACTCAACCTCGGTCCATCCGTACGTACATCAATACTTGTTAAATATGTTGCTTTTCTAACATTAGAATATATGCAGGCACTCCTCCCCAGTAAATGAGGCCTCAGGACAGAATGGACTCATCAGTAGTACTATGAATCCGAGTGGCCCTTCCAACATTGGCTATTGCATGTAAGAATATATATAATACTACTCTTCATTTAACTCATCTCACTTCAATATAAGGGGATCCGGTACTTCCACTGTTGGGATGCATGCTACTCAGCAAGATTTTGTTTCTCCAACCTTGTAAGTATCCGAACCCTTTTAAGCTTGTGGCTGCTCTCATTTAGTCTTACACAATCAGCTTCCACTCAAATTTCAGCAATATGGGGCACAACAATTCAAATATGCCCTGCCGGGTGATCAGCCAGAATTTGGAGGTAAATCCACCATTTAACTACGAGGGTCAAGGTCCTAGTCTCTTGTACAACCCCGGATCAACTGAAAGCTTGACTGCTTTCCACAACAACGAGTATACCAAGCATTCATTTGAGAATTTCTCGGCAGAGTCGTCTACAAGCAACCTAAAGTTTCCTTACTCTGACTACAAATCTTATGGTAGCGGAGAGATGTAAATTAGTATAGAAACCGTATCTAAACGTTGTGCTTGTTTCTTAGTCTCTTTAGTTTTCAAACATTGCTTTCGCTGTATCTATTTATAGACTATTAAAATATGAAGATTCGTTTTAATATCTTGACGCAAAAGATATTCTGGAAGAATCTTGTTGTGTAACTTTTAGTCAGCTTCAATACTCTCTAGGTTTGTTGTCACTGTTAAGGAGTATGACTTCTCTTCATATGCTGCATGATTGAAGCTATAAGGTAGTATATTGACCTATGTTGAATTCTTCAACAAGGATCACAGTTCCTATATCCCTGAGTCTAATCTCTATTAATTATTCGTCCTCGGATAGGTCGGTGCTTATTCATTAGGATGCGTGTTCCTTGAGTTCGTAATCTTGGATGAAAGGAAATCGAAGGAGGCACTTAAGACGAGCCGTTCCTACTTGCATTGCCAATTTTAGAACATTCCTGACTAAAGATTAAAAGAGCTGAGAGTAAGACGACAGGAGATACATAATCGGTGTTACGCGGCAGTAAAGTTCACAATCGATGCTCCCATCATCTCATGCCGTCACAATATCTGAGTGGTCTGCGCAGGAACCTTTCAAACATGTCGAACTGAATGGTTGAAATCAAAATCGTGAGTTAAGTAAGTCAAGATAACGAGCATACACCAGTATTTTACTAATCACTGGCATGTCGGTTCCTCGGGCGGGTTTGAATTCATATCGACGGAAAATGGACGCAACGATGAGTAGCAGTCCAATACTAGCGAGATTACTTTACACAAGACCTACAATCAAGCAAAATATGATCAGTCAACAACCTAGATTCTAAACTTAATAAATATAACGTATGAAATATACCTCGGTCCAAAGGAAAGCGGATTAAACGTCTTCTGAACCACAGCTTGTTCACCTTCAAACCATCTCTCCGGTATGATTGTCCCCACGTCGTCATACCCCTCTTCCATATCGTCATGAATCGTATAAATCGGCACGCTAAATATCGTGCCCTCAGGGAAGGTCTTGCTGCATACAGACAACCCGCCTACAGGTACGAGACGCGTTAAGCCGATGTATGAGGTGTGCAAGACTTCATTGATGATGGAGTAGAGCTAGGCAAAATATTTGACTTGTTGGAAGGCGGCAACTGGGTCGTCTTCTCCGCCTAGAATTGTGTCATGCTCGGCTTGGAGCTTCTTGAGGACATGCGGGTTCCGTGCAAGGTAGTATTATTGCACTTGATGAACTAGTAAAGAGATATGTCGGTCAAACAATTATCAACAGAAACTTATCAAGGGAAGGAGGTTGCAAACCTACTTCGACGTGGTGCCAGACCAGGTATAAGTGGGGTTGGAGGGAGGAACAACCCAGACGAAGCTCTGACAACACCTACCGAATTTTATAATTTACACCCTATTAGATTGCACTCTGGATTAGGAAATCCCCAATTGCCTTATGTAGAGTTACTACACTTAGAATGTCTCGGACTATTGGACTTCACTATGTAGTATATAAGGCAGACACTTGCTTGATGTCTCAATTAGAGAGAGTACTTGGGGCACTCCTGCTACACTTGTTAAAAGGTTATGAGCCTTAGTACTTATTGAATGCCTCCACACACTTGCTCTTACAGAACACCTTTGCCTCCTGCTAGACCACCAAGCCCTAGACCTCCCTCTCCCCCCAAACCCATTATGATGTTGTCTACAATGCATACCTTTGTTAATGCTACAATGAAGGACTCTGACATTACAAAGTTCTTTGAGGGAACAGAAAAGTTGGCTGGTACAAAGGGATACAAGATATGGTGCTTGTGCATATACAGTGCACTCACTGTCATAATGCTCTCAGATCATCTAGAGCACAATCCCCCTTCCTCCAATGATGCTGGCATATGTACAGGCAATGTTTTGTATCATTGTATAACAAAAACAATAACTAATACAATTTATGCAAACTTTACAACACATACAAGTGTTAGAAGTCTTATAAAGGTGCTTTCTGAATGATACAATGTTCAAACAACAATGACACATGCTATAGACATATCTATGTTGTTTATAGTAAAAGAGTATGTATCACAGTTTGATAAAACGTTAGACAACATTGAACAAATCTATGAGTAGTTGTCTACACATAATAAAGCCCCTAATAACAATACATACATCTCAGTAATTAACCTTACTACTCCTCATGAGTATAAATGGGTAGCAACAATGCTAGACAGGCAGATTACCTATTATAATTAACTACCAACAGTTACAATAGCTCAGAAAGACATTCTGACACTAGCTAAGTTGATACACAAATTACAAAACACATATACTAAGTATTATTCTTAGTACTCTCAAATGAAACAAGATACTGAACAAGACAGCCTACAAACAAAAGGCAAAAGTGTAGCTAAAAGTAAAACAAAGCCTTATAATAAAGTTAAATGCTACAACTGTAATAAGTACAGGCATATGTTAAAAGACTGCTAAAATCCTCTAACAAGCAAAACAACAGAAGCTTGAAAGAAAAAGCATAGGCAAACAGTAACTACTTCTACTACTACTACTATACTGTCTCAACCTACACTTAATACAGTAGTATTCATTGGAGATGATAATGAAACAGTATTTATTAAAGACATTAATGAAACACTAATACTAGAGTCTACAATTGTAGAAGCCTCAGTATCAAGTTCTAGCAGCTTACCTGTTCAATCCACTCTATCTACTGAATCTAATGTATTTTCAGCATTTGAAGTACAAGAGGATGGTGTCATACAAGTAGACAACTTTATGAACTCATTTAACAATATGAAAGAAGTCATTAAGGAGTTCAATTATGATCCAAACATATGTATTAATATAATACATTATAATGATACTGAACTAATACATTGTATTAATATATTGGACTCTAGTACAAATGTACACACTACTCTATACTTGTTCTGTCTTACAAGTGTTTGGAACTCGACCCTAATAAACATTACAATTGTGAATAAATCATTATTCACACTTAGTAAAAGTGGAGTAATGACATTTAACATAAAACTACAAGACAAAGCTAATGAGCATACTAAGGTGAATACAATTTCACTACAAAACATATACTATCATCCTAATCTGAACTTCATACTTGTTAGTAAAGCACTATTATACAAAGCAGGATATGTTTTAATAAAAACAAACAATGAATGTATTATTTATTCTCCTGCTCATACAAAGATTAGTGAAATACATGTATAAAATAACTTGTATATGATAGTTTCTCATCATAATAAACAATCTATTAACACAATCACTATCATTGATTTACATTAACAAATGGGTCATGTTAATTTTAATTACTTGTACAAACTCATACAAGAGTATTCTGAGATTATAAGTCAAAGGATAATAGACAATAAAAATGCACAGTGTACAGATTGTATCAAAGCAAACATACAACACAATGAAATACCAAAAATACAAACAACACCTCTTACACAATGTTATGAAGATTATCTCCACATTAATATTTGGGGACCTGCTCTAGTACAAGCTTACAGTAAGTATGAATATCTTTTTACCATCATAGATGATGCTACACAATAGGTAACTATACTACCTATGTAGCATAAAAGTGATACTTTCACAGAATATGTAAAGTATACAATGAGACTCTTTACACAGTACAGTATAAGAGTTAAAACTCTCTAAAGTGATAATGATACAGTGTTCCTAAGTAAAGACTTCACTATGTATATTAAAAGTCAAGGAACAATATGTAGATTAACAGTACACAATACACTATAGTAGAACAGAGTTGTAGAACATATACATAAGACTATCTGTTAGAATGTGTATTCTTAGGTTATCACACAAGTAATGAGGGCATAGACCCTGATAATGATATATATTTAGTTACTAAGTTGCTTGCTTTTATGTTATTCATTCGTCCGTATGTCTTAGACATCCGATGTATCATTATCTTGTATCTGATACTTATTGTGTATCTGATACATGTCTTGTATTGTGTATCTGATACATGTCTCATTGTTCTGTGTCTGTTCCGTTTATATGTATATTAATCATCTTATCATTACTGTAGTGTCTGTAATTGTATCATTGATTGTAATACATGTTAACAGTCCCCTTCAAACATTTACAAGACCTATTAAGTCTGTAAGGTGTTTGATCTTTGGAACATGTAATGATTTAGTTAGGATATCTGCCCTTTGATTGTCTGTTTGAACATACTTAATATTAATAAGTTGTTCCTCAACATAACACTTAATAAAATTGCATTGTAAGCCAATATGCTTGGTTCTTGTTGAGTATTTCGTTTCGTCTGCTTCTATAGATTTAATTACTGCTTGGTTATCATAATAAATATTTGTAAGTGTATCAGAGATCTACAGTATCTCATCTGCTAGGTATTGTAATGCTATAGCTTCTTGTATTCCATTTGATAGTGCTATTATTTCTGCTTTGTACATAGATAAGGATACTAGTTTCT